AGTAATATATTTACTGAGAAAAATGGTGACGTGTTCAATACTTATTTTACCCGCTGTATCTCAGGAAGACTCAGCACTTCTTAACAACGTTGTAAACTGCAGAAACAGACTTTTGAACCAACTTGCTGTAAAGAATCTCCTGCAGGTATGTGGTCAGAAATACAAGAACACCGGTCGCCTGAAGGCCACTGATGAGAATTTACTTCCTCACCATCACAAAGATCAGAAAGATTACAATGTCTTTAGTGTGTTAATAACCTAGAGCATGGCTTCTTTTAATCTGTGCTGCAGGACAACTTTGTGTAATTGTTAGTCTGCTACACGCATCACCTCATATCAACACCCTACAGTCACAAACGCCTCTCATACACACAGTGAAGCTTTTCTTTTTTATTTACCATAAAACCGATCTTCTCTTCCACACTTGCAGGTGATGAAGAGGAGTGAAGCGTGTCACATTAAAGCCCATTTGCTCTCATCATCATSAAACATCATCCTGCCAGTGTCAGGAAACCACGCCCCCTTCAGAGCCTGGCACGATGAAGATAATGGCGTGATATTTCGAACATGTTTTTAAAATCATTTAAATTTGACTTTCTCTAAAGTAATAGATAAAAATGTTACCAGAGAAACCAGGGAGCCTGTGGCATTCTTCTTCTTTTAATTCTGGAAAGCTGCTTSAAATCAGATTAGGTATCTCATGAGGCCAAAATACAGCGGTGACTCAGGGCCTGAGGGGGGAGAGGTGGGAGATAAATCCTGCTGTTCGTGTCTTAGAGAGCTTTAAAACAAACACAACAGTGATGCAACAAGCCTCCTGAGGTTACAGGCTTCAGAAAAATACGCTACAATTGCAATTTTACAGATGTTACTCCGAATAATACATTATGTGCATTTCACTACACATTTTTATATGGATATGCATCAACTCACATTGTTGATGCAGTGACATTCCTCTCCATTCATCCACACATTTCTAATTAAAAGATCTGAATGCATGGAACAAAAGTCCATCTTATTKTCTCTAAAATCTTCAAGACCTCAGCTTGACCTTATAGTGGCTTCGCTWAACTGCCTTCATCTAATCAAAATGCAAACGTTGGAAGCAGATGCCTGAAAATGCCCCCCATAGTCTTGTCATGGTTTGTGGGTATCAATTATTGAATTTTTCAAAGTGTTAAGCAGATGCCTTAGGGGATTTCTAATCGCAGGGATGAAGTGTGGAGAATCAAAAGTATTTATAGCATTTTTTTTCCTTCCCCAACACCTGGGTCTCAGTTCAGTGGATCCAGGACAGTGGTCTTTAACTATAGCCAGATTTTCCAGCATAGCATCAAAATACTGTATATTGTTTTTTTTTTTAGTGACCGCTAGTTTTCTTCACTCACATTTGAATTGTCAGTTTCTATAGTGAAGCAGACAAAATGTTCGGGCCAGGAATGGGAATTACCAAAAGAAGTGATAATTGCAATAAAGCAGTTAATTTTTACAGTACTGAAATACCAGAACCAACCCCTAATTTGAAAGTTTAAACTATTGATATGCTGAGAACACTTGGTCAGAAACATGCCACTGCAATCACTACATGCTGAAATAAGTTCTAATATATATATATAT